TATTTCCCTTAAATATAGTTTTATCTTCATGTACTTCGTTTATATGTATATTCAACTATTAAATAAAAGAAATAGAGGATAGACCTCTCTTTAAAAAAAAAAAATAAAAATAAAAATTTTAGGATATTGTAATATAACAAGTTAATCCTTTGGTTAACAAGTTACTTTACTTAGCTAAGTGTACGAGTAGTTAAGAAAAATGTTTATATAATTTATAAACAGTTTATAGATAAGATAAAATATTGTCAACTTATTGCTATAACAACACTTATAAAGAAAGGGTTATAACCAACAAAGTTTATAGACAAAAGATAGATTTATTAACTCAGATAATACACAAAAGAATAACACAAATAAAACAAATATATAACTCAAAAAAAATACAATAATTCCAAGAAAAATATCACAAAAAAGGGACTTATTTCTAACAAAAATAATATAAAATACTAAAAATAGGACTTATTTCTAATACAAAATTATAATAAAAATAAAAATGTAACCTACTGTAAAACACCGTATAAGGTACCCGGGTAACTTACAATTTACATGATAAAAATTTGATTTGTACCCCCGGGTACCTTGTACGGAGGAGGGTATATTACATAAGGGGTACCTTGTAAGGGGGGTATATTACTGTATTAAGTATATAGCGATACCATATTTCTGTATTTCATTCTTCCGTATTCTTGCAAATATGATTTTGCATTTTATAATCTTGTACTGGTAATACCAATACATATAATATGACAATTAAATTTTTTTTTTTACATATGATAAATTTACTTTTAAGATTCTATAAATGAAGGGGGTTACTATTTTTTTTTTTTTTTTTGTAAAGAATTTTTTTCTGGATTTTTTTTTTTCGCTAAATTTTTTTTCGTGAATGTTTTTTTTTTTTTTTTTTTTTATAAAATGTAAATATAAGATATAAGATTTTGTTTTTTTTTTTAAACCATGTTTTTTTATACTAAGATAAAAACTTTTCATAAGCATAAACATTAAGAAAACTTATCTTTAACATTATGGTTTACTTGGAAAGCATTTCTACAACAAGACTTCAGCAAAAGAAAAACCAACAGTGGACGGCCCAGGAAAAACTTTTTATAGTTTCTTATCTTGAAAACGTTCCTGGTGCTACTGTACAGGGAACAGCTGATAGATTCCAAGTTCAACCCAAGCAAATCCGGGATTAGAAAAATAAACAAGAAGAGCTATTATCAGCTCAGCCTCATATTAAACGTCTTAATATTGGTGCTCGACCAAGTTATCCTAAACTCGAAGAGGAACTTGCTGAATGGATTCGAGCCTTACGTAACAAATTAAAACCAGTTAGCCGTATTATGGTGCAAAATAAAGCTATGGCATTAGCAAAATCTCAAAATATATTCTTCACTATCCTAATATTAATAAGTTTAAGTGGAGTAACAAGTGGCTTGATCGTTTTTTACGACGTAATAGTTTTAGTAACCATCGTAAAACAACTGTTGCGCAAAAACTACCTGCAGAATTAGAAACACAACGGCAAAGTTTTCTTAATTTTGTTCAATATCGCCGCATTCAACATGATTATCCATTATCATTAATGGGCAATATGGATGAAACGCCCCTTTTTTTTGATATGCTGAGCAACGTAACTATAGATGATAAAGGCAACAAAACCATTAGTATTAGAACTTGTGGTTACGAAAAATCCTGTTTTACTGTTGTGCTTGCATGTATGGCAGATGGTAGAAAATTACCTCCAATGATTATTTTTAAGTTAAAGAATGTTTCACGGCTTGAGTTTCCACCAGATGTAATTATTAGAGCTAATGAAAGTGGATGGATGAATGAAATGAAAATGAGCTTTTGGATAGATAAAATTTGGCAAAATCGTACACCATGTTCTGAGAATCCACGGTCACTTTTAGTAATAGATTCTTTTCAGGGTCATATAGTTTCTTTTATTAAAAATAAGCTTGTTGAAAAAAATACTAATATCGCAATCATTCCTGGAGGATTAATATTAAAACTTCAACCACTTGATGTATTACTTAACAAATCGTTTAAAGCAAAGGTGGTTCTTTTTTTTTTTTTTTTTTTTTTTTTTTTTACAGTTAATATATGTTAATGCATCCTTTTATTAATAGATTAGATCTATGTATAATGAATGGGTATCACAAGAAATAAGAGAATTAACTGAATCTGGTCGAATTAAATGTCTCCCGTATAATTTAATTGCAGAATGGGTTAAGCATGCATGGGATGCTATTGATACTCAGCAAATTCAAAATTCCTTTAAATGTTGTGGCATCTCAGTTGCAACTGATGGATCAGAAGACGATTTAATTTTTAATTATGATTGTATAGAAAATAACAATAATGATAACAATAATGAAATCGATGAATTTATTTTTAATGATAAAAAAACTTGGTTTCACAACTTTAATTTAATAAACTTTCTAACAATATTTTTATTTTAATGAGACCTCGAACTACAACAAAACCTTTCGCCTCAACAAAGCCTTCCACCCCAACAAGACTTTCAAGACCTCCCACCCCAACAAAGCTTTCAAGACCTCCTATCCCAACCACACCTTTCTTTCCAAGAACACCTTCTTCTCCAAGATCTCTCGCATCAACAAAACCTTTCACTTCAACCAAATTCTTTGCCCCAACATCAATTTCAACAAGATCTTCCGCTTCAGCAAAGCTTCTCATCTCAATCACCACAAAGTTTCTTGGCTCATCAAAACTTTCTAAATCAGAAAGAATTTGAACATTATTATAGTCAGAATGAGATGGACAACTTCATAAATCAATGGGTTTAATAATTTGTAATCACACAAATTTAAAAGTTTAAATAAACTTATCATCTAACCTCTTATATTGCAAAGATATGAGGTTTTTAGATCCAATATTCAAGTGTGATTAACTTTAAAATTATAAATATTATATTAATAATTGAATAGTAATATGACTAAATTATAAACTTAGATTATCAAATACTTTTCTTTTTTATAAGTTCCTTTTGATTTAAGTGCATCCTTGATTGTACATTTTCAATTTGCAGTATACGCAGGTACAAAGCCTCCTTTTCTAAAAAATCAAAGAATCTGTTATAAAGAAGATATAGGTACAGTTAATGAATGAAAAAAGAAGTTTGTCTGATATTTGAAACCTGTAAAGGAGACAATTCAAACGAACAACTTAAAAACTGAAAAATTATAGTTGTTGATTCGTACCCAGGTATCTTACAAAATACCGCATCTGATGACCTTGAAACGTACCTGGTACAAATCAAGGGGAGTACAAATCAAGGGAGGTACAAATCAAGGGGGGTACCTTATACGGTGTTTTATAGTATTCTCAAGATTAGAATATATAATAACAAGGCTATAGTAACCAAAATATGGAGACCAACTGTCCAAAACTACTAAAATATAAGGACCAACTATCCTCTTGCTTTGGGGAAAGAGGCAGGATTTATATATTATTTTTCAGTATATTAATTTACTATAGAACATAGTAATTAATTAAGAAAGTGCATTTTTTATTAATAGAAAAGCACTTTCTACTATAGAATGAGTATTTTTAGATAGTGAATAGGCACTTCTAAATAATGGATAATCATCTTAGAACAATTAAAATTAGAGATTGGACATCTTTTACTATGATAAGAGCACTTTTTCTTATAGAATAGATACTTTTTAATATAAGATGAGCATCTTTTAATATAGGATGAGCACCTTTTGATATAGCAAGAGTACTTTTGCTATTTTGGGTTTGTTTGATTTTGTTTATTCTTAATGTTGTTGTTACATTATTCTGGGCTGTCCTAGAATTCCAAAAAACTCTGATATAACTCAGTTCTGAGTATATATAATATCAGCCAAATAGATATATAAAATAAGCCAAAATTTAAAAATTTTCTATATAAAAATACAACATTTGATGAATTTCTATATAAAATTTCCTTTTTTAGTAACCTCTGAATTATATCAGAATTCTTCAGAGTCTTGCTATCCTGAAGCACCATTTGTATTTATATACTTTGGTCTGAGTTCTATTTATATCAAACAAATTAATAAATTAAATAATTAATTAACTATTGCTTTAAATAGAATTCTGTAAAAACTATCCTAATAAAATTAATAATAAACTTTATTTGAGCAATTAAAATAAATAAATATATTATAAACTATATAAATAAACTAATAATACTATAAAATATATAATAATAAATAATACAATAAAATTTAAGAAAAAATATAATAAATATATAATAAAAATTGTTAATAAAATTCAATTAATAAAAATTTCTCTACAACTCTTTCCAATGATCCTTTGGTCAATAAGTTCAAAAATCTGAACTACAGTCAGCGTTATAGAAGATATCAAAGGGTGATAATATACTTGGTTTTATACAAGTAGATGTGTTGTCGACGAAGTACCAAGAGTGTAAAACTGAGAAGCAAACTACTTTGAACAGTTTTTGTAGAGGTCAAGCTTTCTTGTTAGTAGACTTCTCTATTATATTTGACATTCAAACCAAAAAGATATTCTGGAAACACAGAATGACTAGATCGATACTAAACATGTTAAAAAAATTCGAGATAGTCTTTATATAACTATAAAACTTATAAGGAAGAACCCACAAAGTTTTATTGGCCCACTACTTTTTTCAAGGAAATTTTGTCAAAAAGTGGGTGTTTTAGCTTACCCCCTTCTAAAATTGACATATAACTTTTTAAAACAGTCAGTATATTTATCTCCCAAATCAGGTTGATTATTTTCTAAAATGGTTTGTTTACTTTAAGTAAACACAAATTGATGAATAGCTGAATTAAGTGTGTGTACTTATTTGTGCAAGTGATATAAATTCAAAAAGAGAAACTAGCCAATCAGAGAATATAAAATGTGATTATCCCGAATCAGCCTGACATGTAAGTGAAGCGAAGAAAACCATGAAAAAAATGAAAAAAAATGAAAATACAAGGAACTAAATGTTTAAATCTGTTTTTGGTCACTAATTAAAAGTAACAGAAATGAAATTTTACATATAAGAGTTAAATATTTATTTCTATAGCATCTAACTTTAGCATTCTAACCCTAAAATTTTATTTTCACGAACTTAGTTTATTTTTACATTGAATTTTCTTTTTTGGGTTTGTATCACTCACACAAATAAGTAAATCTGGATTAAGCAACCGAACACATCCAAAGGACAACACAATTAGGTGAAGTGTCTTGACCAAAAGAAACTGTTTAAACAATATTTTGAGACTAATGATGCCTTTCAATTACTCTGTCTAGTCTAGTTTAAATCTGCTATTTTTGTTTTTTTTTGTGTGGATTAGATATATTATTAGGATAGAGTTAGATACAGAGCTTTTTTATCTTGTAATATGTAATTTTTGTAGCCTAACACAGACTTATAATTGTGATTATCAGATTTTTTTATATTCATTTTTTCTCTTTCACCCTTTTTTAATATTAGTATTAGTGTTAGTATTTTTTTCTTTTTTTCACTTCTTTACAAGAAGATGTCATCAGATTGGCGATATTCTATTGTAAGGCAGTAGTCTGATATAGCTTTCTAGGATAGGTGATCTTTAGATTTTCTATTAATTTACCATAATATATCTCTTGTAGATTTATTGGTCTAGTCAGCAGGTTACTTATAAATGCTCTTAGAAGTAACTGCAGAATGTTAGGCCTAAATGTTAAGCTTAAAGTATTTTGTACCATCTGTAACAAGACAATCTTAATAAAGGATCACTGGCAAGACTGGCAAAGTTGAAAAAAAAATAAAAATAAAAATAAAAATTTCCTAATAAAATATATATAATTTAAATAAATTTAATTAATAAAATTTGCTAATATAACAATATATGTAATTTGATCTTCTAAACAACTTTCACTTAATAAATATAATTGATTTATTTAGTAAAATTTTGACATTACTATACAGAATGTATTATAGATTAATTAAAAAAAATTATTTTTTATTTTAATTATTTAAAAAAAATAATTTATTTTTATAAATATCTACTACTTATACTTCAGACTTATACTAGTTTCTAGTTTCTAGTTAGTAAATTATGTATTTTTTCTAAATAAAAGTAAAAAAAAATTATTAAAAAAAAACTTAATATATTTAAAATTTTATATATAAATTTTTATCAAATATATTTTTAATTTTTATTTAATAAAAAAGAATTTAATTGATAATCTACAATAAATAAAAATTTGTATTAATAAAATCTATAGCAATATATATAAAATATTAAAATCAGTATTTTAACTAAATAAAGTCAATTTTTTATTTAGCCAATATTCTGTAAGCTTATAATAAAAATTGTAGAATTAGTTTTTATAATTCTAATGACAGTAAGATTGGTAAAATTAGTTAAATAATAAAAAGTTATAAGCAATTTAAAATTAAAAATGTTTACAATACTATAGGAATCATGATTCTGATTTAACATTTTTTTACTATGCTTAATTATAAAAATTCTCCCAGTATTAAATTCTCATTTATTCACGAATTATCAATTAAGTTAAAATAACTGGTGGTGATCATCACCAGTATATAATTAGTCAATAACAAGAAATTAAAAAAAGATTTTATTTCATTTACTTTAAAGTTAGGATGAGGCTTAATATTTTAATAAGATATGGTTTAGACCACAGATAAATTAGTCTGAGTTTCTTTTCTTGCTATCTTAGGATATGAAGTTTAAATTTATTCTTTTCTTTGTACAAGAGTTATATTCTCTTTTTCTGTAAGAGAGCTGTATTCTCTTTGCTTTGTAAGAGAATTAAATTAAATTTTAATAAAGACAGAGACAT